TTCCCATTGTTCAATCTACAAATTCACCTGCGAGAACTCATATTCATACTCAATCCACTATGGGTACATATTTAATTGATCTAGGGCCCGTTTGGTAGGGATTTTGAGAATTGATTTTTTGACCGTTAGAAAAAAAGTGGGGTCCACATGTGAGAGAAGAAGTCAAAAATTACGGCTTGAATAGTAAAATAACGGTCAAAAAATCAATTTTTTGGGGGCAAAAAATCCCTACCAAACGGGACCCTAATTTGCTGCTCAATTGCCTTGTAATTCAATCCCCAATGTACCGACTAGGACGATTCCTTCAACTGCAATTGACGGCCAAAATGTTGTTCTTCCATCCAGTGTGATTCAGTTGGGCCAATCCTTGCTTTATGAGAGTTGAAAGGCTACCGAGTGGTGGCTTAATTATTAACTTCTTAGATCAGAAAGATTTGGAAGGAGATGATGAATTTGGGTTGATTATTAGTACCTTCTTTTTATTTATTTATTTTTTTTATTTTTGGGTAGGGATGGGGTGGGGTGGGTGTCTTTTTTATTTTTGATTTGTTTTTGCTTTCTGTTTTATTTTAATTCAAAGTTGATATTTTTTCCCTTGTAAAATTGGTCAAAATCAATATCTTGAGTCAATTGTCAGTCATATTAATAGCAATAATTCATTTTGACTCCAGGCGCGACTTTTGAAAAGTTTGGTATTATAGGTGCAACAAAATGAAGGTTTAGACAAAGCCTGCTTAAAATCAAAAAATTTGGTACCGTGGCTGCAATTTTCCCCAATTAATATCCATGAAAGTTAATTTGAGCAATTAATTTTCTACCTAATCTAAGACAAAACCTGTTCAAATTGAGCGTGTATGGCTAAATTTAAAAGGTGCTTAAAAAAAAATAAAAAAACCTTATTTTATAAGTATTGACTGATCATATTTACGAAAAAAATTACCTTTAAGCATAGCCAAACATCCTTTCTCTAGCCTTTCTTGACTTAGCGTGTTGATCACGACTCTCATAAGATAAAGTTTAATTAGTAATTAAACTATAGCCGTCAAGCCTCCTTTCCACTTTAATTGATTCATTGTATCTCGCCTTTATATAAACCAAAAAATTTCACAATCTGATTCTTCCTCTCTCTTAATTCTTGAGCACTTCTTTCTCTTTCCATAATGGAGAATTATCCAACGATATTTCAGTCTTCATCTTCAACCGCATCTGGTTCTCATATGTCTATATTAAACATGGCAAATTCTCATGCAGCAGCTGAATTTCAAGATCAAAAGTTAAATGGATACTTGGGGCAGATGCCACCTCGTACTGAAATTCCTAGTTTAGACATGACTGATATTGTTGCTCGGAGGAATAACCTTGTAGATGCTGGAACCGCAGGCAAGAAAATTAAGGTTGAGAAGAAATCTCGAAAACCTAGGTATGCTTTTCAGACAAGAAGTCAGGTTGATATACTGGATGATGGGTACAGATGGAGAAAATATGGTCAGAAAGCTGTGAAAAACAACAGATTTCCAAGGTCTGTTGCTTCTTCTTATTCCCACTTAATTTCAGTTTCTTATATAACTTTTAAGTGAATAATCAGTCTGCTTTGCAGTAAATATGCACATCTTGTGTGTGTTTACGTTTGGTTGAATGCTAGACTTTGTTTTTGGAAAATTAATGTTTAAACCTTGTTTCAGTGTTTGGTTGCTATGGATCTTTCTTGACTTACATCGATGAATAGACAGACTTACAATATAGTGAAATTTCTATAGTTCGATTTCTTGGTAAGAATAAGAAAAAACAACTTCATAGTACCTCCAAGAATCGAATCACTTCGAGTATAGAAATGAGATATGTTTCTCATCCAAAAAGATTCATTTCTTATCAAGTCTTTGATGTGCACATTTTTGGACTAATATTCTTTTTTCATGTTTAACCAATTTGTCTACAAGTTAAGATGTTAGAGACATTGACATATACATGATGTGATTAATTAGGCAAATGTTTATCTCAAGAACTGACCAGGAAGAAAAGTCCCCGGCCCCTCAAATTCTACATAAGGCCTAACTTCACTACGAGCTAAAGCCTATCCAAAATTATGAATTTTTTTATTTTTTATTTTTGACATAAAAGGGTACTTATATTGTCATAAACACCAATAAGAGAATTCTGAAACAGATCCCTTAGTTATGAGCATGCAATCTATATTAGTCTGAAATGTCCCTTTCGTTTTATTCACGGTATGAGTAAAAGACTGTTATTTGGTGACTGCAGATCTTAACTTTTTTTTTAGATAGACCATGAAATAAAATCTAAAGCTTATCCATCTTCCTAAGGTGGGAGATCCCTACACAACACAACTTACTAGGTCTTCTTTATCCATCTTGTGTACGAACTTTGATTGAGTATCTTCATTCCAATCCCTAAATGAGACCTTAAGAGAATTCGTAGAAGCACTGCCTGAAATTTGAATACCCTGCAATTTCGATCCTAAAGTTTTATTCTCGATAAATATGAGTTGACAATAGTTAGTTAATTACAACATCGATCTACTAGACATCAGAGGACATCTCAACGAAAATTATAATAAGATGTGACGAGGTACTACTCTAGTTGCAGTCATCCTCCTTCATTGGGAAGAGCTATATATACTAAGGCCCTGTTTGATTGCAACATTTTCCACGGAAAATGTCATGTCCAAGGAAAATAATTTTCATTTTGACTATTTGATTCGCATGTGGAAATGGAATTCGAATTCTTATGTACAACCATTTAAAGCACGTTTTTGGCCAATTCTATGGAAAACGAATTCTTATGGGTATGGTGGTTTTTTGTTTTCCAACTTAGGTGGAATTACTTTTCCTTTTCCTCTTTTGCAATCAAACGGGGCCTAACTTCCATAGTTAATTAGGCCACAATTTTTGGTTATTTATGCTGGCATTTAGCGTAAATTTTAAATATGTATGTTGTATGTATTAATTCCCTCCTAAGATTATCTTTGCCAAATGATCCTGGAGGAAATTTGGTCATGGACTAAATGAAACTAAGGTATAACAATTTTCAGTTTATTGCTTAGTAATATACTAATAACTTGACGTTAATTCGTAATTTTGTTTCTTGAATCTTTAAATTTGTTGTATTAATCAACACTAACGAATTTCTTGTTCTCTTTTGTTTCTGCAGAAGCTATTATCGTTGCACGCATCAAGGGTGCAATGTTAAGAAGCAAGTTCAAAGGCTATCTAAAGACGAAGAAGTAGTAGTAACAACATATGAAGGAATGCACTCCCATCCAATCCAGAAATCCATGGAAAACTTTGAGCATATTCTCAGTCAAATGCAAATTTACACTTCCTCTTAAGTCCAAATCATATTCCACAGTCATATTTAGAATTAAAAGAACATTTTGTATACCAGATATATATTTGAATAATCTGTACGATCCCCTAAAACGTTAAAGTTAGATCATTGTGAAGAACTGAAAGAATAGTTTAATTTATTTGGTTTTTTCTCAGTGGATTAATAACAGTGTGTTTGTGTTAAAATTACAAGTTATTTTCGACTTTAAATTTTCACTTCTAAAATGGTCTTCTTTCCTAAGTAAATTTTTATTGTGTGTGAACTGTGTGAGCCCGAGTCAAGGGAAGCTCTTCACCATATATTGGCTAAAAAATAATAATAATAATAAATGAAAAAACAAAATTCTCAGAAATAAGTTTTATTTTCTTTTCTTTTTAAGATGAGCCAGACTTGCTCGAATTAGGTATCTTAACTAAAAATGCTAGGCTGCACTCTGCAGTGGCATTTTTTTGGCTGAAAAAGTTAGGTAAGATATTGGGTATGCTCTTAACACTAGACTCCAACCATGCTACTAAATTAAGAGCACTTATTTTCCATTTAATGCTTGCATTAATTATTAATTATATTCTCTGGAAAGAATTATGTAGAAGAGTTAATTAATTACATAATTCCGTCTGAAGAATTATTCAAGGAATAATACTTTAAGTACATATTTTTCTACAAGTTTTGATCGATAGTTGTCTTTCTGTAAATGGTCATTGCCAAAAACAATTTTTGACAACAACAAATCATAAGAAGATAGTTGTCTTTCTATACCAATTCTATTAAAAAAAATGTACTTGCATATTAATTGTTATTCGAGGTAAGTACTTGGGTGGTTAAAAACGAAAGATAAGTTTGAACTTTTAAATCATCAAATATGATTTAACAAAGGAAAATATTCAGGGCTATGGTCAAAGTGAAATCTTATTGACGAGTTATTAGCAACCTGTTTGGGAGTGATTTTTTGGTCAAAAAAATTGATTTTTTGATTTTTATTTCACCATTTCAGCAGTCATATTTGACTTCTTCTTTCATAGGTAGACCTCACTTTTCTCCTAACGATCAAAAAATTAATTTTCAAAATCACTACCAAACAAGTTCTAAACGTATGCTCAAAAGCAATTTTTATTTATTTATTTATTTTTTATATAATCTACTACAATGATATTCGTTATATATATTTTTTACATGGAAATATTTATTTTGTTGTTGAATCATGAATGTGTTGATAAATAAATGGTCCCTATTTCGCCAAAAATGGAAATAAGGATACATGTGTAATTTTGAATTCGAGGTTTGGCTATCATTTAAAGTGACAACCGTGCTACAGTATTTGCGTGGATGATCGCGGGGATGACCACGCTATATACACATGGGGGTCGGGATTATTTTATTCGCACAAGACTCATGCATCCCATGTGAGGACGTGGTCGTCGAGGGGTGTCATCCGTTCTGATCGAGTGGCATTATTCTTTAAAGTGATGTTTGGGTTTGAATTGATCAATTTCTGAAATTTTGTTAGTTAAATATTCATCTTTTAGTTTTTGAGTATAGTTATATTTAACTAAGTGATAATATAACGATTTTAAACTTCATAGAATAGGAATCGTGAAATATGAGAATCTAAAAACTTTAGAATTTATAAAATAAAATAAAAATTAAACTGTTGGTTGATGTGGAATATTGTATACTTGATTTTGATAAATAAATTCGTTTATTTTAAAGATTGCCGAAATGATTGAAAATTCCAATTCTATAATTTTATTTAAACTACTAAAGAATAAAAACCCAAGAAAAATTTAATCGAACGAAATACGTAATTCCCATAAAACTATAAATTAAAGTGCACTGGAATTTGAAAAATTACGAATTAAAACTAATTAATAAGATCATGAATTGTATTTATTTTTATTTCCAGAAATTAGGAGAAAATAAAACTTGTGAAACTTTTAGTCAAACTTAAATAATTTTTTTAAAATATGTATATCCTAATTCCTAAATTGAAGGCTTGTTTGATCCCATTTTCTAGAAAATGTATTTTGAAATAATGTTTTTTTTTTTGAAAAATGTGTTGTTAAAAAATAATAGAAACTTTTCGATTTATGTATAAAATTATTTTATTGGATAAAGTGTGATTGAAAATGAGTTTTAAAAAATGAACGTTTGGTAAAATGTGGCTCAAACAAGGACTGAATTTAGTTCTTGTTTGATGGTGATTAAAATAAAATTTTTGGTAGATTTTGAAAAAATTGCTAAACTGTGTGGTTAAAAAATAGTGAATTCTATAAAATATATGATTAAAATTTGACTTATTAAGGGCTCGTTTGATTCTCATTTTTATCAAGATACATTTTTCTCTTTATTTTTTTTGACTACACATTCTTCATTAAAATAATATTGTAAGTAATTAAAAACTTTTTCTTATTTTATATCACATATTCTCCATCGATCTACTATTCTAAAATTCATTTTGTGGAAATTATAGATTTCCAGGTGTTTCAAGATTGGAATTCAAAAATCAGGTATGAATATAATAATTCCAAACCCTAATTCAATTACAATCCCTAATTTTAATTCATTCTTCCCACTCCGACTCTCACTCTTACTCACTGTTTCCCTCTCATCTCTTCCTCCCTGTCAAACGCCGCCTCCGTCGCTGTAACACTGACCATCGAACACCAACGCGTCTCCACCACGTAAGCAACACTGGTGGTGCTACTGTGATGAAGAGATCGGAGATGACAGTCGACGTTGTTTGATGTGCTGGCACTTAGATCAATGCTGTGAGATAGTGGTGTGGTTGGTTGCGGTGGTGGTGGGTGCGGGTGCGTTGGTGGTGACGGGCGTTTAATGCAACTTTGCTTGGAGCACGTGCACTGGTGTGTGGGCTGACGAATGGATCAATGTGGTAGAGGCATGACTATGCAGTAATCATTCGATCATGTCTCGTGATTTTAGTGGTGGTGGAGGTGGCGGCGATGGCGACAAGGTGGTGGCACGCAGGTGTGCAATGGTGTGTTGACCTTTGTAGTGGTGCATATGTGGTGTGGTGGGTTGGTGGCTTCAAATCTGGTTGGTGGTGGACCGATGGTACCATGGTGATTTGGGTTCATAGGTTCAAATTTGGTTGGTGGTGGAACAGTAAGTGCAGTGGTGTTGGCGGTGTGGTGAATTGGGTGGTGGTGGAGATGGTGGTGAGATTGTGGGTTGTGTATTGTTGGTGGGTTTGGTGGTGACGGTATTGGTGGTTTCTGGTGATGGTGGAAGTGGTGGTTGGTGGTTGGAGAGTTGATTATTTGTCGTTTCATGGTAGCAGTGGTATGTGATCACTTTTTGACACATGCGACCAACCATTTAGTTATTCGTAACAAGCTGTTTAAGTGTGACCTAAGAATTTGACAATCCGTGACCTGTAAATTTTTTATCCGTGACTTCGAAATAATCCGTGACCTACAAATTTTTTAATTTGTGACCTCAAAATAATCTGTGATTAATTAATTTGATAATATGTGACCAGTAAATAAATTTGTGATATATAATTATGAATCTGTGACCAGTATTTGATAAATATTTTTAATTAATTAAATATATACTTGAGTTTTGAATTTTCAAATTATTTACCTGATTTTTAAAATGATGTAAAGAATACACATGAAATATGAATTTTTTCCATTCATTGTTTCATAAAAATGGTTATCAAACGCCCTCAAAATTAAAATTTTAATTTTAACTCATACCGAACATGGATTTAATGTTTCTTTTTCTTTTCTATGAAATAACCGTCCATTGAAATTTGGCCAATGAGCACCAAGGGCACAATCGTAAATCCAGTAAACTCTCCCAAGCCTTTTCTTTCCATTTTACAGCCAATTCGCCTTTCGTTACTTCCAAATTTCCAATACTCTCTCTCAGTGAACAAAGAGGGTTCAACTAATGTTTTATTCTCGATCCGCTATTTTCTCACTGCATTCTAAATTATTAAAAAAAAAAGGAAAAAAGAAAAGTTTTCTTTAAGTTCATCATTCCTTCTTTCACATCAACACTCGAAAAAGCTTTCATTTATTCAGATTTTATATCCTTTTTATTCAGATTCAATGTTTTATTTAATTGCATAATTCTATTGACAACAATCAATTGTGTATAAGCAAAGCCTATGGCCCTTCCTATCGGCAAGCTAACGCTCATCATTGGTGCTGGTACGCGCACTCATGATTTATGCAGTGCAAATAAGTGATTATTGTGAAATTAATGATTATATATAATTGCTGATTTTGTTGTGTATTGGAGTTTGATCAGTTGTCATTGCTCGAATACGGGTGAAAGTTTTAGGCTTTTGACTAAGTCCTTGATAGGTTTTGTACTTATTGTTGTAATGTTTGTTAGGTGGATGAATTTCCGTTCTTACAATGATTTGGCTGTCCGGTTAACTTATATGAACATTTTTTTTCCTGGGGAAGGCAGGATTATGATGGTGAGCACTGAATTAGTGCTTTACCCCTAGATGTCTAGTAAATTGCTCCTGCGCCTGTATTCATTCAGGAGAACCAGCTAGCTATGGATTTGTATGGCATTCATCCTTAACATTTGCATTCACGCCTTTCAAAAGAGCCACTAAATCAAGTTCTAGTTTAGGTTAAGGAAGTATGACTACCTTACCAATAATGAAATCATCCGGGAGATGTTTTGGCTTATATAATGTAATTTCCATTACTAATGAAAAATATGAGAAGAAAAAGTATTCCGATAAAGTTGCTGAAAAATGAAAAGGGGCAAAAGCAAGCAAAAAAATTTTTGAATCTAGAGAAATAAAATGAATTTTGTCATCTGGAGTTGAGGTGAAAGCTGGATTTGGGATTTTGTAGAGCAGAAATTGATTACAAGGAAAATGTGAGCCTGATGTTGCATGAATTGATTTTCTTGATGACACATGGACTCAGTATTCCACAAAAAATTAAAATAGGGTAAGGGCTGATTTGATTAAGATTCTATTGTCCTGAAAGAATGGATAACATTTGTTTTAAATGGTTGGGGTAGAAAACGGTTTATTTTGTTTCCTGTTGAAATATCTTGACAACTCTTTTCCTTATGCTTAGAATGATTTGGAAATTGCCTTATGCTTTCTTTCACGTGCTTCATGCATTATGAGGAGAAATCACTTGTGCAGAAAGATGGCTGTAGCAAGGAATAACATATAGCTTGCTAGAATTCAGTTCTCTTGCTAGCTATTTATCTTAGTGGCACTTTTGTTTATCTGAATTCTTATCTTTTGTGCTATGATACATATGGGTTATTTTTGGTTGGTTACAGACTTACAGCGACTTATATTGGACATTGTTTTGTTACAGTGATTTTTTATTGATTTGTTGTTTCTTTGTGTCTGTCAGCTGCATCCTTTTATTGCTTGCTTAAATATACTAATTACATAATAAAAAAAAAAAAATTGTAACACTTGTCATTCTGAAAAATACTAGTTTTTGCATGTAGAACAACAAATTAAGCATTATTCCCAAATTTTTTGGGGCCGACTACATTTATCCTTTTTAGCCACTCCATTCAATTCAGTCTTTGCACATTCAAGTGAAATAGTTGCTTTTAATGCACTTATGCACTCCTTAGTTCTTTTAAGGTTAGGTATTAATATGAGTTTGCGGTGACTGTAATGTTGTCGAAGTTGATTGGTATTGTTCAGTTTTGTTTATTACATGTCTTTGTCAGGATTCTTTCTTAAGAATATGTCTCTTTTATATTTGCAGGCCTTGTTGGGTCAGTTCTTGCTAAAGAAGGACGCACATCAAATGTGTCTGATTTTTTTTCTGGTGCTTTTAAGGTACTTTTCGTCTTGGCAACAATCTCCCCATAATTCTTGTGGATTCTATGTCCAGCCTATTGAAACTGCTCTAAAATGTGTGATTGAAGTAGATCTTGTTTTGATGAGGACATCACTTACTTTGGGCTCCTACCTTTCGACTATCTTTATTTATGCTTTATGTTTTTATTGGGCTTGTATAATGGGTTGGTCCAAGCCCATTTAATTTCTATGTTTTTTGGTTTCTCTATTTATGTGGCTTGGTAATGTGATTTGAAGGGATGATGATTGGATTAATTCAAGATTGAATTGCTCGGCTTGTTCTCTTCCCCTGCTTCTTCTCCCTCTAGTATTCTTCTCCTTCCTCTTCAGTTTGTCCCCTTCTTTCTTGCTGTCTTCTTCTTTTCTTCCCTGCTTCTTCTTTCTGCTGTCTTGCTGTTTTCTTCTTCCTCTCCTTCCTCGCTTCTTCTTTCTACTGTGGTTATCTTCTTCTCTACTGCTGCTTTTAAGTTCTCCGCTGGAATACTTCAAGTGAACCTACATCAAATTTGGTATTAGAGCTAAACCTAGGTCAACAATCAAACTGAGCAACTTCCCAGCATCTTCACCAGTCTGCAACCTGTTATTCTACTACACCAAACAAACCTCGAGTTGCACTCAAACCACAAACAATATCCAATCGATAGTAACCAAACAAACACTGCTGTCCAACAATCAACCCAATGCACTACTCAAAACCATTGTCCAATAACTCCCAGTGATATCTTCATCAAATTCCAAAAATTGCTGTTGAGAAACCTGTAATACCTGAAATTTACCTCCAGCAATTTGTTATTCACTGCAACCTGAAATCATAGTTGCTTACCCAACCATCTCCTTCTCAAAATCAACAGTCTAAAAATGGGGGAAAAAAAATGCTACAAACAATAACCACCTCACGCACAACCTCATAGCAGCTGCCACAACACCCTACACTACCCAACAACTCCCAGCATCATCTTCATCAAACCACCAAAACCCATACTAAGCAGTAGCCGTTTCTCTGTAACTGCCAACCCCCACAACCAACAATCAAGCTAGCACACTATCCTAACAGCTTACCACCAATACTAACACTATTAGCCCAAACCAAATCCACAACACAGCAGCCCCAATTTCCATCCAATATAATATATGAACCACAATCACGTGAAAATTTTGGAAATGAGTTGTATGAGTGTTGGTTATTTGGAGTCCAGTATTAGTACTTGATTAAAAGGAAAAACTGTCCCCTTGGTCGGACCATATTCTTGGGAATAAGCTGCAGCTTTCATTATTATCAATTATGGAATTTCGATGTTTGGTTCTTTAGAAAGATCGCTCTCCGTGGCGCATGAGTTTAGTCACTTTTGCTAATGATTGGGAGCTTGACTGTAGCCGTTCATTATTTGTTCACTCGATAGAGTCGAGTTTTTCTCCCACCTAGGAGAGTTAATGAGGACATCACTTACTTTGGGCTCGTACAGTTGGACTATCTTTATTCGTGCTTTATGTTTTTATTGGGCTTACATAATGGGTTTGCCCAAACTTTCTGTGTTTGTTGGTTTCTCTATTTATATGGCTTGGTAATGTAATTTGAAGGGACGATGATTGTAAATTGAAGATTGAATTGCTCGGCTTGTTCTCTTCCCTTGCTTCTTCCCCTCTAGCATTCGTTTCCGGTTTCTTCTCCTTCCTCTCCGGTTCCTCCTCCCCCTCCCCCCCTTTCTTGCCTTCTTCTTCTTCTCTTCTTCCCTGCTTCTTCTTCTTGCTGTGGTTATCTTTCCCTCTGTTGCTTATCTTGTTCTCTACTGCTGCTTATAAGTTCTCTGCTGGAATTCTTCAACTGACCCTCCATCATGTTTTCTGCTCATTACATTTTTATTAAATGGCAGATTGTTTTGAAGCAACTTAAACAAGATGATTCATCCACTTCAAATTCCAAACCACGAAATGATTCTTTGCTGCAGCAGGTATGCATTTTTTCTTCTCAATAAGCTACATGCAGCGTTTGAAAATGTGTAATTAGGTAATGACGTGTTTTTCCTTTATGACGTGAGGTGTAAGCCTCATTGTAAACCCAAAATGTCTAAAAAATATTAAATGTAAAATTAGCTCATTGCAAGTCATAAATAATATTCAAAATTCATAATAGAACAATTTAAAGTGTGCAAATAATAAAAATAAACTCTAGTGGGGGGAAGTTGCTATTCCTAAAGTGGGTCAACTTAAACTTCTAATGTTTTTTGAGCCCAACCAAAAGGAAAATAAGTAAGACTTGAGAATTAAAGAGCACACACTTCACAAGCCATAGGCTATGTGCCTCCAAAAACTGCCACACAATCAGAGTTTGGAGTTATTTTTTGTTTGCCTCGCTCTGAGGCGGGCCTCAATCAGGATTACTAAAACAATGTTTCCTCATTAATAGAAATATGTAACATATTTTAAATGTTTTTAATGCAGAAATTAATTGAATATTTAATTTTTACAGGTTAATAGCTTGCGGCAGGAGCTGCAACTCCTGGCATCAAATAGATCTGTTACAATTGTTACATCAAGTAATTCAGGTTGTTGTTATCACCAATTTTGAGTTGGATACGTGAAGAAAATTATTTTTATAAGCTTCCCTTGCCAAAGCTTTCAATGTTTATCTTATTTCTCTTGCTAAAGTCGTTCATTAATTTGAAACTGATATTTTCAACTAATGAACGCTTTCTTGTCGCACACTGATATCCTTCTGTAAAATGCTACAATTTGAGGCCCTCAAAGTTGTGCTTGGCTCTTTCTATTTTGGCTGCAAATATTCGGGATTTTTTTTTTCCTTTCTAAAATTTCTCTTCCATGCATTTCTTTTTTCTTTGTTTGAACACGAGGGCAAAATATTATTTTCATTGAAGTTATGTCTGTTTAAGATAAAATGTCATAGATGACTTGTTTTCTCCATAAATATGAATTTAAGGATCCACTAATAAGAACTTTAAAATGGGTACTGTGATAGTGTGACTGCAATTTTCCTTTTTTCCCCTCACATTGACTAAATTATGACACTTTAGATTGACTTAATCTTGTCCAACTATTTACAGGATCAGGAAAATATAGTATAATTATTGTTGTTGTAGTTGTTGGATCTGGCTACATTTGGTGGAAGGTAATGTTGTTATTATTGTAAATTGTACTTATAGTTCCAAATTTTACTTAAATCGTATAAAAAATCGATAATGGATGTGCTTGATACCATCTTTAAGGATAACACCCTCCCCCTACCACATCTTTTAGCCGGTTGATACGATTTTCCAAATGTGTATGCGCTTGCAGGGTTGGAAAATTTCTGATATGATGTTTGCAACCAGGCGTGGCTTAAATGATGCGTGCTCTTCTGTGGCTAAACAGCTTGAGAACGTTTACTCATCGATTTCGGCAAGTTTTTATTCCTAAAATTCATTTTCTTCTTGGATGCTATGGAATTTACTTGTTTATGGAGAGTTATTGTGCCATATGCTCTGTAATCTCTTCATTATTTCTAGCTCTAAATGATTTAATAATATCAATTTAGCCAATGTTTGGTTCCCATTCTTTCCTCGTTAAAATGAAAAATATGACGGTTGTCCATCACATTAAACTATCAAATTTGAATTTTTATTTCTTGTGTGGGGCCCGTAACGACTATATTTTTCATTCTCATTCTTCCAAAAATAAGAAACAAACGGGGCTTAGTTTATAATATGTTTCTATTATAATCTCTACTAATTAGTGGTCTTATTGGTCTATGTTACTATGGCCATGTTTGAGCCACATTTCTTCAAAAAAATACATTCTTAAATAGTGATTTAACATCATTTCAACCACATTCTTCAATAAAATAATATTACACGCAAATCTAAAACTTTTCTTTATTTTTTAACCACACATTTCCCATTAATACACTATTCAAAAATACATTCTAAGAAAAATAATGTGGCTCAAACAAGGGCTATGTGTTTGTATATTTGCTAAGAAATTGTATAGTAAGACCCAGATGACCTAAATGTTATGCACTTGATGTGCAAGCAAGTTTAATCATTCTGGAACACCATTCTTGAAATAGTCACCTATCAACTTTGTGTTACTACATGCCTGTGTGATTTCCTATTTTACAATCCCCCTGTGTTGGGTTACGATAAGCTGCAAAATATGTACTGTTAAACGTGTGTACCTTGTTGTATTTCTGCAATCAATGTATTGGAAGTCTATCACAGTAATGACATTGGTTTGTTTTCTTTCTTTTATAAATCATTTTGTCAACCATGAACGGCCAAAATGATTTTCTTCTAGTTTGTGGTTATGCATTTAATACTGGATTTTGTTGTATGTCAATGTCATTAACTTGTATCGTTTGTGCTGTCTCCATTAATTCTTTTATGTTTGCAGGCTACTAAGCGGCATTTATCTTCAAGAATTGACAGTGTAGATTGTAAAATTGATGAATGTGCTGAAAATACAGCTGCAACAAAGGAAGAGGTTAGAAGAATTAATAGTTGAGTAGCGGTTCAGTTTTCGTGCTATAATGACCAAGATATCCTATGAAGCAATTGAGCACGTAACATATCTGTGTAGGTTTCTGAACTACGAGGTGATATGAAACTGATAGGTGCAGATGTGCTTTCTGTTCACCAAGTAGTGCAATCCCTGGTGATTAATCTACCTCTACATGTGTGTGCATGTGCTTTCATGTGTGTTCAGGCACTTGCGGCCGTGCAAATTTATATATGAGTAATGCTATATGTACATAATTATTTACAGATTGGTGTACAGAGAGAGAAAAAAACAGTTTGGAAGAGAGAGAGAGAGAGAGAGAGAGAAAGAAAAGGAGAGAAGAAAATCAGTTAAATTTTAATTCCATGTCATCAATCCGTGAACCAGTATGTAAATAATTATGTACATGTAGCATTACTCATTTTATATTCATGCATCTGATTTTTCTTTGTTATCTTCTTATATCAAATGAGTATATTTGATTATGGATCAGGACTAATTTCTATCATTGTCCTGTTGCAGGAGACCAAAATAAATAGAATAGAAGGGAAACAGGTAATATTTACATCAAATTGAAAATTTTGTGTCTGAGTTCATTTGATAGATTTTGCCTCCTAATATAGTAGCCAATTTTATATCGTCCTCTTTGTAGAATGTAACAAACTTTGGAGTGGGGAAGTTGATTGCTTTTGTAAGGGGTCTCGAAAATAGCAAATCCAGGGAGCAGATTGAGGCATGAACAGAAACTTGCCTGTTTTACTATTTAATTATAGTGATAAACTGATATTTATGGATTTCCTAATGATATTCTTTGAACTTTTCAGGGAGCTGCATCGAGTTCTTCAATGCTCACACTTCAATTGCCACCAGTATCTGCGTCAAGGGTAAGAACCTGATCTCACTTCAGTATATTAGCATTTGCTGAGTTACTCGTGAAATCCTATTGTAAATATGTATTTTTGACCTTCATAAAAAGTATTGTTTGCCTACTGACTACTCATAATCTATTGAATTGATAAATTCAGCTTTCTGAACCAAAATAAATTTTGGCTCCTCTCCCCAATAATAAAGAAAAATTGGACATACTCAGGTGTTGTGTTAATCACCTGTATTTACTTTGCTTACTTATCTTCACAGGCTGCATCTTTGCCTGTCAATTCGGAGCCACCATCACCCTCTACTTCTAATGCTTCTCACAAGGTTAGTGAGCTTTACTTCTGATGCGTTTCTGCCTGGAAATCTCTGGCATATGTCACAAAAAAGTACTTGAACCCAGAACCTAAAGAATTGAGAGAATGGAAACTACCAATTACGTGATTAGACTTATACTGAATGTTTACTAGAAATCTGGCCGTTTTCTATCACCATAACGGCTTTTGTGTAGGAGTTGACAGCCTAATCACCCAAACTCAAAATTTATTTTATTTTTATTTTATTTTTTTAAATCTGTTAAACGTGACCAGTAAATATATATAATGACTTTCTTTGCACATTAAAAACTTTGTCAATTACCCTGCTTTTTTCCATGTTCTGCTTGACGTTTATCTCAATTACATGTGGGTTTATCTTAATTTTCCCATTGATTTATCCATTTAATTTTCAGCATCCTTCGCAAAGTACTGTTTCTGCCTCTGGCCTGAAGGTAATTTACGCTTGCTCATTTTAACATCTTCCAATTGCTTGCCCGAGTTAAGTCGTGTCTGACCTCTCCTCTCACATGGCTTCTTAGGATATTTACGGTGTATCAGACAGCGTTGGGGTGTCAAGCCTAAGCACCCGTTCTAATGGAGTTCATGCGTCAGAAAACTCAAACATTGAGAACTCCCATTCCAATCTGTTTGGAAGAAACTTCTCTGGAAGGAATGTTCCTATTTTCACAAGAAGTTGCAGCGTAATGCAGTCTTTCAAGTAAGCACTATGTCCAAGATTATAAACAATTGGAAACCTATAAGAAAACATATTTTTGTACCCCGAGAGAGGGGAAGTGTTCATAGTTAATCTGTGGCTAGCTTAGTCAATCCCGTTTATGGTCACCAATTTTGTAGAGCTGATGTTATCGATTGCTATTAGGATATGTATGTAAAAGTTGCTGATACAATTCAGAATTTCTCCATACGAGTAGGACATGTTTTTTATGTAGCACTATATAAGATACATTATGTTTCCATGTTCAGGAATAAATTTTGAGAATGCAAATCTTTCAATAACATAAAACACCTTTTAACTGCCTGGTGCCCGTATCGAACATGAGTAATACTTTTTGTACGTCATTGTGTACGGATTGATGACATGGAAGAGAGAGAGAGATAAGGAAAGAGAAAGAAGTTGGTTAATATAATCCACATCATCAATCTATACAGAGTAGACATTAGCATTATGGAAGGTGGTAAAAAAGAGCCACGTGTTGGCAGCTGGGGAGTTGTGTTTTTAAGTGTGGGGACAATTGTTCATTTACTAGGAATCTTATAAATGGAGATTACTACGGTAACTTTTTAGGTGTGACTTTTCTTTGGAGTTAAAGGGTCTCCACCTCACAAATGTAGACCGATCTTCTGCGTTTTGTGGTGAATGGTCTAAGTCGAGGCAACATTTTATTTGAGAGAGAGAGAGAGAGAGAGAGAGAGAGAGAGAGGAAAAGAAAAGAAAAGGAAGTTGGTTAAATATAATACACATCCAGTTTATACACTATAATATAGAAATTGAACATTAGCATCATGGAAAGTGGTAAAAAGAACCAAGTGTTGGCTGTGCTGGGAGTTGTGTAAAAGTGTGGGGACAATTGTTCATTTACGGGGAATCTTGGATAAATGGAGATTATTACAGTAAGTTTTTAGGTGTGACTTTTCTTTATAGTTAGAAGGGTCCATCTCCTGCGTTTTGGTGCAAGTTGTAAGGAGTTTTGGTCTAAGTTGAGGCAACAATTTTTCCATTTTTATTTTTTTGGTAAGGGGAATGAGTTTATCGCCAAAAAAAAAGCTACGGACTCTCGTTCAAGAACCATGTTAAGCTTGGAGAAATGAATTGACCTTTACAGCAAGAATAATGTTATTTGCAGTCACTTACTATCGCAGTCGCCTAATGTGATATACATGTAACAGTTAGTGATTTGATATATGATGTAAGAAAAAATTATCATATTAATACATCGAATTACAAACTACCATGTATGATGTTACGTAGAACGATTATCACAGTAAGCGATTATTCTTATAGGAATGCGTTGTACATGTATATACGAGCATGTATGTATTCACTTTTTGCAGATGCATGATGTCCCAACAAGAGAAGAAACAAAGAGGGTTGTATCAAATTAATGCTGGCATATAATGTCATAATTATTGTGCATCTTGAAGATGCACTGCATATAATTCAACAATTAATATGTAGGGCTTTGCTGTGCAGAACTTTCAATGAACAAAAACAAAAATAAATATATACAATTCTAAAGTTGGGATGACATTAGTCTGGATTCTGCAATAGTCGGGTTCTTTTTGATGTTTCGATTTAACATGGTATCAAAGTAGATAAAGAAATCGTTTAGTTTAGAAAATTTCAGCTCTTGGTGGGAGATGGATAGTCGAAGAGGTCGCAATATTTTATTTAGTAGGTATTTTGAACTTCTAATTCTAAATATGAGAATTGAAGTCATCTAAACTCTTTCCCATATTATCCAAAGAATTAGATATATTATTAGTACCAATTTCAAGAATTGGCATTTCCCGTAAGAGTCAACAACTGCATGGAAACATACAAGGATCAAAATTTGAGAGAGATTGTAATTTTGTCTGTCGGATTACTCGTTTGGAGGCCCGTTTCTAGAGTTTACTCTTGGATGACTGGACTTTCAAATTTTCTTATCAAGAAACCTCCTTTTTAAGCTTTAATTTTTTTAAATATAATTTTATGTCGAACATATTTTATCTTAGTAGAAATTACACTCACAGAGTTTTAAAGATTACAATTCAAAAAACGGATTTAAGGTTTGATTATTCAAAAATTAGACTATAATTCCACATTTTAACATTAATATATAATATTATAAATTAATTTATAGATCCACTCCTATACCACCCATCCTTCCAAACCCTAATCATCTCTACTCTCTCTCTCATATATATATATATATATATATATATATATTTCTATTCTCTTTTGTTTCTTTTTACATCCCACACTTGTTGGCACCTCCGTAGCGGAGTGAAATCCATGACGAAGCGTTTGTGACCAAGGTCAGAGTCAGGGGCGGAGCCAGGAATTTTGTTCAGTGCGGGCAAAATTTAATCAAAGTCGAAATTTTCGATTATGGATATTATGACAATGCTAAAAATAACATAACGACAACACTAATAAGATAATTATCTTCTTTCTTATTCTAGGATCTATAGCAAGTTGTGCAACATCAAAATTCATTTTATTCGCTATCTTCACATCAACATTTTCTACGAAATATTTTCTTTTAAAGAACTCTGCATTGACACTTCACACTAAAATAAATCACTAGTGACAATTAAGTACTAACTGATAAGAAAAGAACTACTAATTTTTACAAATTGGTAGAACACCATAAAATCATTACTAATTGTTTAAATAATTGACAAAAATCAAAATTTCAAGAATCGATCACAAATATTACCAATATTTAACATTCACATAATCAAAATCCTTAATATTAAATAGAAAAATCACATGATAAAGAAAATTTTTGCTGCAAATTTGAGGGTCCAAAAACATGTGGGTTTTAGGAAAGAAATGAACTTTGAAAATATTTCAAAAATGTCACCGTACACTTGGAGTTGGGGCAAATTAGTGTATGGATTGGACTTTAAATAAATGAAAAACATACCTTATAAAAAAAAAAAAAAAAAAATTGACCATGGGCTTGGGCCAAAAGTCCAGTGCGAGCATTTGCCTGCACTGGACTATGCATGGCTCCGCCCATGGTCAGAGTGGAGGAAAACAACAAAGTGCGATAGAGAGATCCATAGAGAGTTTGTGTTTAATTGTTTTTTATGTAGTCTCAGGATGGTGAAATCGCCATATTTTTTTATCATGTCCAGTCTTCACTCGTCATCGTTGCAGCAGCGGTTATGAGCCATCACTGTATTTTGGATCTGACTTTTTCGTGATTTTGTATCTTTTGTGGTGGTTATGCAATGATATGGGTTTTGTTGTGGTGTTTGATGTTGGTGGTGGAAGCGCTGGTGGTGAGGTGGCAATTTTGGTGATGTGGTGGTCATGGTGATGGTGCAAATGGTTGTGTATCATGTCCAGTCTTCACTCATCATCGTTGCAGCAGCGGTTATGAGCCATCACTGTATTTTGGATCTGACTTTTTCGTGATTTTGTATCTTTTGTGGTGGTTATGCAATGATATGGGTTTTGTTGTGGTGTTTGATGTTGGTGGTGGAAGCGCTGGTGGTGAGGTGGCAATTTTGGTGATGTGGTGGTCATGGTGATGGTGCAAATGGTTGTGGTTGTGGTTTTAGTTGTGGTGAGAATGTGGTCGTAGTTGCAAATAGTGATGGTGGTGATTGTGGTTGTGTAGGTAAAGTGGTGGCAATGGTGATTTTGAAGTTGAAAATGGTAGTTTGTTGGAATTGGTGGCAGCGGCGGCGGCGGTGGTGCTAGCACCACGATGAGCTGGTGCTACTTTCAATTGGTGCCATGTGGATTGGGTTTGGGTGGTGTAAGTGGTGGGATGAAAAGGTGGTGTAAGTGGTGGGATGAAAAGTGTGTGACTAATAAATTGGATATTTTGTGACAAATAAATAATATGCGACTTAAAAATTTGAGTTGTGACTTATAAAATTTGAAATTTGTGTGTGTGTGTGTGTGTGTGTATATATATATATATATATATATATATATATTTATTTATTTATTTATTTATTTATTTTTTGAGGTCATTTCTGTTTGAAGTAGATTTTCTCATAAAATAATTTCTATTTTCTTTTAATGGGATCCTCAGGAAAAAGCTACAGATTCTTTGCCAAAATCATCACAAGTTGCAAACCGCTCCAATGCCCCTCCATATGCTCAATCAGCAATGTCGATGGACAGTGATGACGGAATCTCGTATAAAGGTCCATCAACTTTCAATTATGCTTCAATTATTTTCTTTGCTTAAGCTTTTGTCAAATTAGCTTAAACTATTCCAAGAGTTTGCTAAGCTTCTTATGGATCAATGTCACTACTGTTTCTGCATCATTATTAAAGCAGTAATCTCATTTTGCCTATTCTAGCTTCTCTTGGTAAGTAGATTATTTTTTTGTTCAGTAATGACCTGCTAAGTAGCTTTCTCTTGCCATTTCATATGATTGCAACTTGTACTTAATAAACTAGGTCTGAATTTTGTTTCTTTTTTCTTTTACTGATCACAATTTAGTTTCTTAATATTCTTCTCCTCTATCTTCATTTACAAGATATTTCAACACCCCTGCTCATTCAAAGAGGATGTTGCTATTTTAATGAGCTCGAACATATTGGAAAGGATATTACATGGGATAATTAGGTTTCTAAATTGCATCTTTGCTTTCATGTATAAGCTGAGTGTGAGCTTAATGTTGTAATTGAATAGTCCTGGTGAGAATGAATTTTTTTTCCACTTGCGGTCAATGAACTTGATTAACTAGGTTGTCAATAATACACTCCTGGTGGAAGCTCTGTCACTTGCAAGTTAATGTTTAATATATATTGTATGTATTACAGTTCTATTATTTTACTAACCTCGACATGACAATTGGGTTTAGAATAGTCTCTGGGGAAAAGAGGGTTAAATGTGTACTAGTTCTCTATAGATCTATGCTTCTTATGCATTAGTTTTCTTGGGAAGTTTGGATGCTGATTGGTCTTAAGAAAAAGCATGAGAAAGGGAGTTCTTTAACCCAAGGCAACCTAGGTGGGCACTTCATTTGAATTTCCTTTATTGTAAAATCATTTTAAGAGTTAAATGCAT